ACTTTATTTTATTAAAGAGAAATGTCAAGAGAGTACAAACACCTCTAAAACCCACTTATTTTAGACTATTTTGGCAATTTTTAAGGCAGTGAACCTGAAGAACCAAGAATTCAGAAAGCAATTTATTGCTGAAATCTACCGAATGAGCTGATACCCAAGAGCTAAACTGCAGGGATAACACAATTTCCTGTCCATGTATCACACCATAAAAGACACTTTTAAAATATATATATTTTTTTTTTTTAGTTCTAAAATAAATACTCTGATAATGTTTTTGCTATTTGTTCCGCTCACTCACTCTGTGCACCTTCCCTTCTTTGTTAGACCCTTGCACATGGCCCTAGTGGTTTCCCTATCATTACCCTGTTACAAAGCAAGAAAGTGTAGTAGATCTTGGTGCTGGAAATGGGCTGCTTAGTAAAGGAACAAGAACTTTAAAACAATTTTAAAGGATTTAGGGACTCACATCTGTGATCTCCATCTCCCAGGGATGGGTGTACTGACCTCACCAGTCATCAAAGCTCTCCCCAGTGCACTTCCAGACTACACGCTCCATTTGGAGGGAGGAGTGGAGGGATGCTTTCTATATACTGTAAGAACAATCTGTCTTGGGATTTCTGTGAATTTTGGAGATGAGAGGACATAGCACAGAAAAATAAAGTGTGAGGATTGCTGTCTCCTCTAGAGCATAATTACTCTTCATACTTATACTCTGAAATAAAACAAGTTACACCCACAGAAAAAACGCAGCCATAAGCAGAGCTTGCACCACATGTTCAGGGTGCACCTGAGCTGAAGATTCTCCAGGCAAAGCCCAATTTCTCTACCGGTTGTTGTTGCATCAGCTGATATCATAGGCCCAGTGTGAATATCAGAGGAGTTGAGGTCAACTCTGTGCATCTGTCCAAATTCCTCCATTTGCATTCAGCTCAATACTTCTCAGCACAAGTCATCTTCTGCTGTCCCTCCTTACTGAGCCATCTTGCAGCCACACATACAACTTCACTCCCTGCAACAGTGTTTTCATTCAAGTTCCCACAGAGCTCTGGTTTCAGCAAGAAGCAAATGGTCCTGCAGGGCTTTGTTTGCCCTTGTTATGATTTATTTTAAATGAAACAAACAGAAAAATACATTGTGCTTTGCAGTGGATGAAGTCTCACATACCCTTTTAAAGTAATGGCAGCAAATACTGTCAAAGTCCTGTTTCACAATATTTGAATGTAGATGATCCAGACAAGTAAAGGGACAACTCCTCTATATCAGAAATCAAGAGGAGACTTTCTTGCACACTTTTTGAATGAACAAACATTTTTTCAAGGACCGAGTCCTTGGAAAGTTACAGTTAACTGTTGACTCATTATGTGCCATACCCATGGGGTAAGAAAAGGCTGTAATGACTCTCCTTTTAATAGTGCCCCATGTTATGTTTGACCATGCCATCAAGTCTGCGGTTCACAGGTTAGAAGGGTGCCTTCATGGCAAGTCAGGTAATGTCTGCTTTATCTCCCTTCACCAAAATTTAAGTTCAATATTTTGCATATGGGACCATATTGTTGCTTCAAGCTAATTTTACTTAAATAAGCCTATTAATTTTTGTACTATGCAGTCATTCTCAGGATAGGCATGAGCTCAGTCTTCCATTATTTAATGACTTTCCTTTTGTGGGATAACATACAGCTCTTCCATATTGCTCATCACTTTTGGAAAAGGACCAACTCCATGAGTTCCTTGACTGGATGAGGAGGGGAAAGAGGAAGAAAACCTTTTTCATTGCTTTTTAGGGACTAAACTGTAGTCGTGCTTTGTTCAGGCTGGAAAAACTCCAAATAACTTCTGCTGGCACAAATAATAATGCCTGAATGACATGTTCTTGCAAATATAAACAGTGGCACAGTAAATTGTTTAACCTTTGCCTGAAGCATACTTTCTCAGACAGTGAGGTGCTACCCTCTCCAGAGCAGTTGCAGAGTGTTAGGAAGATGCCATTTTTCCAAATGTGACAGGACAGATTGAAGTGAAAACAGTAATCTCATCATTTCCCCTTGCCATACAACCCCAGCAAAGTGTTTCTACACATTGTAACGGGGCACATTTCTCTTGGGGGCTTTAGTGAAAGCCTTAGTGTAGGTTTCCAGTGAAACAATTACTAAAAAGCAGTCTGCAAGCATGATTTTGACCTCAGCATTTAAAGCTTATTTCCTCATCAGGCTTGGAGGCCAAGTGAAGTCCTTGGGAGAGACCTAGTGCCAGATTGGCAGATGAAACCCGCCTGTTTTCAGCAAGTCAGGGCAGACGATGAGGTCCAGGTTCAGCTGAGGCAGTTTGCTGCCTACAGCAGAAAAAAGGGTCTGGCCCTTCTGCTTGCTTTGCCTGCATGGGAGACCTAGAAAGCCTGAGGATCTGCTGTGGCCAAGGGAGGCCTGGGAACATGTGGACAGGGTTGGGACTAGTCAAGCTCAGCAGCTGCAGGCACAACTCCCAAATCTCCCACCCAGCTTCTCTACCCAAGCCACCACTCTCTCTTCCCTTCCTTTCCTCTGGCAGGAGCAGCCTGCCCTGGACCAGTTTTGCCTGAATCTTACGCAATTGCCTCAAAAGAGCAGGAACTGAGAAAGACAGAGTGGCCTCCCTGTGGCCTGAACCATGGTGGGACCCACTGCAGATGACTTTGCACAGGCAGCTAAACTTCATACGGGCAAGTCACCCACACAAGGTGCCTGAGTTAGATTTTAACACCCAAGTGAATTTGAATGCCCATTGCTCTCCCTGTCCAACAAACGGTTCTCCTTACAAATCATAGAATCACAGAATGTTTTGGGTTGGAAGGGACTTTAAAGATCATCTGATTCCAACCCCCCTGAATGGACGGGGACACCTCCTGCTAAACCAGGTTGTTCAGAGCCTCACCCACTCTGGCCTTGAACACACCCAGGGATGGGGCAACCACAGCTCCCCTGGGCAACCTGTGCTCACCACTCTCACAGTGAATAATTTCTTCCTAATATCTAACCTAAATCTATCCTCTTACAGTTTAAAACCATTAACCCACATCCTATCATTGCAAGGCCTTGTAAAAAGTCTCTCCCTGTCTTTCCTGTTGCCCTTGTCAGGTACTGGAAGGCTGCTATAAGATCTCCCCAGAGCCTTCTCTTCTCCAGGCTGAACAGCCCCAACTCCCTCACCCTGTCTTCACAGCAGAGGTGCTCCAGCCCTCTGATCACCTTCATATCTTCTCTGGACTTACTCCAACGGCTCCATGTTCTTCTTCTGTTGGGGTCTCCAGAACTGGACACTGCACTCCAGGTGGAGTCTCACCAGAGCAGAGCAGAGGAAGAGAATCACCTCCCTTGACCTGCTGGCCGTGCCTCTTTTGGTGCAGCCCAGGGCGTGGTTGGCTTTCTGGCCTGCAAGTGCACATTGCCAGCTCGTACCGAGCTTCTCACAGTGCCCTTCTGTCCATCACTGGCCGAGGTCGCTGCCAGCAGCCCTTCTGGGCTCAGCGGTTTGGGTGAGCCCTTGGGCCACACGAGGGAACAGCCACTTCCAGGCGGTGCTGTCAGGCAGCGCCAAGGGCTGCAGACCCACCAAAACCTCCCTCACTCGTAGGTGAACCTGGTGCCCCACTTGCCCGAGGTTTGGGGGCTGCCCCCCGCCTCAGCTCCCCTGTCAGCCCCGCGCTTCGCCAGGAGGCCCGAACCCTCTCCCATCAGCTTTCCAGTGGGAAAACCGAGCTCTGGGGCGCCAGCTGGGGCAGGGGGATGGGGAGAAGGGGCTCCCCGGGGGACCCCGCTGGTGGCTGCCGGGGCCGCCCCCTCCGCCTGCGCGGCCGGGGCCGGG